ATGGACAACACTGAATCAACTGCTCAGACTATACAGAGAGAAGGACTCTCTAGCCCACCTGATGTATCAGTGGAGGGTTTGAGGCGATCTGCACGGGCCACCAAGGGCCTGTTGCCTCAGCGTTACAGAATTTAAGTGGAAATGTGTGGACACATTTTGAGTAGGGGGGGTGGATGTAAGCGGTGCTTCCCAAACCAAAATGATGCGTACTGGCGTCATTTGCGTCTATGACGTTTCCAGGAGATGAACAGCTGAGTTCAATTTGTAATGAGTCCAAGCCTTTAAAAGCGATTGTAGTTTCTGGGTCAGGAGGGGTTTTTCTTGGTTTTTGATTGCAGGTGCTGCTGAGCCGCTGGCCAAGGCTATCGTGCCAGGACGTGGGCATGATGTTGTGCGCGAGCGAATGACTGGGAGGGATAATTGGTAGTGCTGGGGTTTCCCCGGACTAAAGTTTCGGCGGCCGCTGTTGACTTCCAATCGCTGTATCCCACGTCCGGTAGCGGGTAAGCGGGCCAGCAGCACAATACTGTTGCGGGGTGTGTGTATTGCATTTTGTTCGCCGGGAGTTTGAGTGAGTTTGATTGCTCCCGGCGCTTGTAGTCTGTCTGTTTGTGCGTGTGTGTGTGTGCGTGCGTGCGTGCGTGCGTGTGACGGGGATGAGCGCAGGCTAGCATCACGCTCCATACAGGAAATGTTAAATGACGACGGCTTGATATTTAGCTGGAGTGGTATTGATGGTAGCTTATGATTTGATTGCTGTGTGGAGTCTATTTATGGGTGTTATTTATACATTTATATTTATGAGATTTACTGTGTGGTGTATTACAACTCTGGGTTGATGTGAAATGATGATGTGTTGCACAAATACGGTTGATACCCCTTGTTAAATGCCTTGTGGTGGTCATTTTTAATTGCCTTACCTAATAATTTTTATACAGTCCGCTAACAATCTTTACATCATGAACTTTGTCCTTTTGATTCCCTACCTGCTGCTCCCCTTGTGTGGAATTTTAATCTTTAAGATTATTGTATAAAATAAAGGTGAAATTAGTATTTAAATGAATTGAGTGTTTGACGTTTACTTGATTATTGTGGCCCAAAATAAATACTGTATTTTGTCCAGCAAAGAACTTGTGTTGTGTGTGAATACTTTATGCCCTTTTTGGGAGGGTTACAACTACATAAGCAGCATATAACAAGTAATGACTCTCTTGAATTTCAACATGGACAACATGAACTGGTTGGAGAAGAAACAGCGGACCTGTCGATTTATGTAAAACCGCCGGCCTCTGGGGAACAACAGGAGGACCCTACTATGGAAGGAAATCATGCTACTGTCAATGATAATACAGAATGCATATGTGAACATGAGTAAAGAGATAATCTTTCCCCAGATAAAGGACAATCGGATAATGGAATGGAATGAGACCTATCAACAATCGACTTCTCAGCTTTACTGGAAAGGGAAAAGCTGACCGATAAGCTGAAGGGGACCACTGCTGCATCAACATTACAAATATTAACCTCCAGAGGTGGATAGTAGTCAAGGAAAATGCTGGAAAAGACAAACACTTGAGTAATTGGTTTGCCTCCATATTTGGATCTTGGGGACAATGGTTGATAAAGTTGACGTATTTGGAGGTTACCATACTTGTTTTAGCTTAACTTTGTTGCTGTGTTGTGTCATTCATCAGATCAATGCTAGCCAGTGCTGCTGCCACACACATGGTTACTGTGCAAGTACAAGGAACAGTGCAAGCCCACCTCAACAGTGACTATGGCTATGAAAATATGCTTCCAAAATCCTCAGATTGGTCCATTGATGAGAACGTTACCACAAACCTGCTTGGATGAGTATCAAACCTTTTTTATCTTTTGTTTTTGAGTGTGCCGTAATTCTTGTTTTTATGTTATTCCTGTTTTGTGGAAAAGTAAGGGAGATTTTCAAGCGTAGACAGACCTTTAGAATAATGAATAGTGTAGGCAGGTAGTTAGAGGATATTTTGTTTTTTATTTTGGCACTTAGACTCTTTTACATATATATGCCAAAAATTATTCCTATACAATGCAAGTAATCTTATGTTGTTTTCTATTTTCTTTTTCCTCTCGTTCTTTTTTATCAGAATGACATGAATGAAAGGAGGGTTTCAAGCAGGTCATTATCTGTGCTACGAGACAGAAGTGCAAACAGAAGGACCTGAAATTAAGGATATTAATCCTATAATCTACAATATTATCTTTTAATACTATATTGGTTATGTTTCTGGGTATGAAATGGACATTTATCGAAGCTGCAGGGTTCACATACTCACAGGGAAAAAGGACTTGAACTGAGTGCTTAATGGAACCAACTGTCACGACCCGGCTCAAAGGCAATGACAAAATCAAAGGGAGGACATACACCAGATGGTTTGGTACCAAAAGTATTTATTTAAACATTAACGAATAATAAAGTGCTCACTTTAGGTAAGCCAAAATCAAAGATTAACCAAAGCTAAAAAGAAACTAAACAAAACAAACAGGAGCAAAAGCACGGCTTTCCAGAAGCCAACACTGCTGGCTTTTATAGAGGGGAACTCAAGTGTTCCCAATTGAGCAGATGAGTCTCTGTCCTTCCCGCTTTCGGCCGATCAGTGGGTGGGTCAAAGAGACTTGTCACACCAACGATCATCTTGAAGCTGGCGAATGCTGTAAGAGTAGGCTCTACTGATGGCTTAAAAGCCTGCTGCTCGCTCCAACACCAGACAATACTTAGTAGTACCTCTGGCAATGTGGGAGCAATCATCTGAAGACCAGTAGACAGTATCTTTTACTCCTTTCTAATCAAATAAAGGGGGAGATGTTTGGTTCCGCCTCTCCACTGGAGTGCAGCATAGGGAGGTTGACATTTGGTAAAGACTGTGAAAGGCAACTTTTTGTTGCATTAGTGAGGTTGATTGTACTGATATGTTCGTACCTTATGCTGCATTCCGGTTGAGGGTTAGGAAAGAGACTTTCTTTTGATATAGTCCCTCTAAAGGCTGATTTTTACTTCTGCGTCAAGCCCATGCTTATGCTACGGCGCTGACGCATAGCCCTACGCCGTGGCCGTCGATGTTGCTGACGTGCACCTGTCAAAAAATTTAACTACACGTCGTGCGCAAGCTCTGTGATTAGTCGGCTTAGTAGCGCTGACGAGTCTGATTGGGACTGAGAGCCTTGCAGGCCCAATAGAGCGATTGTTTACAAGTGTGAAGTCCCGTGAGGAAGCTCCAGATAAAAAGTTTGTTTTGTGTTTACCTCATAGTAAAGTTGTTGCACGTCCGCCGGTTTCTGCTTAAAAAAGAGCGAGTTTGAGTCACTTGTACATTCAGGAAGTGTTCAGGAAAAACAAAGCACCAGCGAAGAAACTCAACACAGAGGAACATTTACACCTCACTGCCAACTAGCGTTTCGGAAGTGTTAATGCAGACCAACAGAGACAGCGCGCAGAAGTATAAATGCACAGCTACGCGTTGAATATTTAGCAGACCAGAATATTTTTTCCACAACAATTTACAATCACTTGTCTAACTGTCTTTGAATAAATCATAAGGTATGAACTCCTATTTTACAAACATACAAGGGCAATTAATGTCTATTTGCTCCGTGCGCTGCTCCAGATAGACAAACAAGCTACATCATCCTTTACCTTAGGTTCTTCGCAACAATATTAGTCCATTTTCAGCTTTTTCTGTTCTTGTGTGAATGAGTAATCCCCTGCTATGTCTTGTAAGTGCCAAATGCAACAAATTTGGGTCATGAAATTCCAACATTCAAAAAAATACGATAACGTATTTACAAAATGACCCTTTTTTTTATACTAGTCATTTTTCAAAATCTTTTGTTAGACTTTGCACATTACTTTTCTAAAATATCTATTTGTATATAATTGCAGTTTATTTATATTTGTACATTATTTATTTTACATTTAATGTGTGAAGGCCGTTTGGACATTGAAAAATAAAATGGAAAAAAGTACTACTGTGCCATTTGCTTTTTTGATATAGTGTTATGATTTTGATGTGGTTATGAAAAAGTAAAATTATGATTTTTGTGATAATAACCCTTGTAATATCTTGTTTTTCACTTTTGACAGGTAGGAAACTTGTGTTGTTTTTTCCCACCCTTCGGTTAAACTAAAATGATTCTTGCATACTACATGATTAAGACAAAATAATTTTTTCTCGTGCGTCCTGACATATGCTGGTAACAAACAAAAACTGTCCTCAGTTTGATAGAACACACAGGGCCTGAGTTATGCACTAAGACTTGCTTTAAAACAAAAAAAAACAAAGCTGTTTGTGTTGAGGTGGTTCATCATAGGACAGAAAACATATATATCAATAGTTAGCATTTAACAGCAGTGTTTTTTGTAATTTCAAAGGGTTTTCTTTAAAATGACATCAAGATATAGCATTTATTGTACTTTATGTGGGTGTGGTGAGACTTTAAATTTAGGTAGGGGGAAATACTTTTTTTTTTGACATGTTACCTTCTTCCAGTTGGAATAGAATAACTCTTGCATGCATTATTATAGGGAGAAATGTATTTTTCTTGTGTTTACTGACACCTGCTGGAAAAAAATGGAATTTTGATGGAGCACTCAAGGCCTGAGTTCCACATTTTTAACTTCAGTTTATATAAAACAGTATTTTATGAAATTTCAAAGGATTTCTTTTAAAATTATACCAAACTTTTGTATTTATTCCTATGCATGTGGTTATGGAAAGCTTTTTTAAATCGGAAGGCCAAATTAAGGCGGAAATACCCAAAATAGCCCAAAAGCTTAACAGGTCAATTTCTGATGAGCTGCTGAAACTCATCCCACACTGATGTTGCGGTCACACTAGAGTTTGAGCATGCAACATTTTGTTGTATGGCGCTGCGAAAAGGGGCGGGATTAAACAAGATGATTAGACATTAAAAAAAGTGAGCGATTGTCCAGAGAGGTCATGTTTTGATCTTCGATTGGTCTCACACAGTCAAGTAATGCGATTTCGCAGGTCAGAGTTTACCGAGCTTGAACTCTGCAACGCAGTGAACTGCAAAACTTGATACACAAACTTTCGTTTACAGTCTGACGGATTTGCGTGCATATGAATGGAAGTCTATGGGGAGAAAGGTCCAGTGTAACCGTGGCTTAGGTGCAAGTAAATGGTTTCTCTCCAGTGTGGATCCTCATGTGTCGGTTAAGTTGTGATGATTGTATGAAACTCTTCCCACACTGAGTGCATGTAAATGGTTTCTCTCCAGTGTGGATCCTCATGTGGTGATTAAGGTGTGATGATTGGCTGAAACTCTTCCCACACTGAGTGCAAGTGAATGGTTTCTCTCCAGTGTGGATCATCATGTGTTGATTAAGGTTTGATGATCGGCTGAAGCGATTTCCACACTGAGTGCATGTGAATGGTTTCTCTCCAGTGTGGATCCTCATGTGGTGATTAAGGTGAGATGAGCAACTGAAACTCTTCCTACACTGAGTGCATGTGAATGGTTTCTCTCCAGAGTGGATAGTCATGTGTTCATTAAGGGATGATGATTTGCTGAAACTCTTCCCACAGTGAGTGCATGTGTATGGTTTCTCTCCAGTGTGGATCATCATGTGTAGATTAAAGTTTGATGATTGGCTGAAACTCTTCCCACACTGAGTGCATGTGAATGGTTTCTCTCCAGTGTGGATCATGATGTGTCGGTTAAGTTGTGATGATTGTATGAAACTCTTCCCACACTGAGTGCATGTGAATGGTTTCTCTCCAGTGTGGATCCTCATGTGGTGATTAAGGGATGATGATTGGCTGAAACTCTTCCCACACTGAGTGCATGTGAATGGTTTCTCTCCAGTGTGGATCATCATGTGTTGTTTAAGAAATAATGAGTGTCTGAAACTCTTCCCACACTGAGTGCATGAGAATGGTTTCTCTCCAGTGTGGATCATCATGTGTTTATTAAGGTGAGATGAGCAACTGAAACTCTTCACACACTGGGAGCATGTGAATGGTTTCTCTCCAGTGTGGATCATCATGTGGTAATTAAGGGATGATGATTGCCTAAAACTTTTCCCACACTGAGTGCAAGTGAATGGTTTCTCTCCAGTGTGGATCATCATGTGTTTATTAAGGTATGATGATTGGCTGAAACTCCTCCCACACTGAGTGCATGTGAATGGTTTCTCTCCAGTGTGGATCCTCATGTGGTGATTAAGGGATGATGATTTGCTGAAACTCTTCCCACACTGAGTGCAGGTGAATGGTTTCTCTCCAGTGTGGATCCTCATGTGAATCTTAAGATCGCCTTTTCTTCCAAAATTACTTCCACACTGAGTGCAGGTGAAACGATTCTTGTCTCTCCTTTTCAAAATACCATCAGTCTGTAAATGAGTTTTTTCCTCAATTTTGACATGATGTTCCTCCTCTTTCCTCTCATTCTCTTCAATTAGGTCTGAAATAAATAAAACATTAGTTTTCATTAAGTCTTAAAACCCTCATCAAAAGCGTAAAGGTGAAAAGACACTGGAAACATTGGCTACACACTGTAATTTTGATGCACATTAAATGTAAAATAAATCAGATCATATTTTGTTCAGTCCATTAACGTATGCACATTTAAGCAGATTCAATTCATCTTCATCTAGTCCTTTTACAATGCAAGTTGTGCTGAAGCCACTTAACTTAGAAGTTCTGGTAAATTGAAACTGTGTCAGTCCAGCTTTCAGAGTTTCTCATAAAAGTCATTTTGGTCATATTGATCAGACACAGATTTGAAAGCTGTAAAAAGCCTATTTTTATCCATATATATTCAGAATTACAACAAAATGTTTTTCTAAAATTTGTAAAGCAGACAGGAGATACTTGTTCATTCTGTGCCTGACTGGTAAATGCATCGGAAAAAAAAAAAAGTTCTGAGGTAACAGTTGAACAGCTGAATATTTGCCTCGCAAACATGAGACATACCTGTACAGCATCTGCATAAAGGCTGAAATATGCACCTTTCCCCTTGTGTGCTGTTGGGTCATTTTCATCCATTCTGGGTTGATTTTGTGGATTCATTTGGTCAAAACTTTCTGTGTTTTAACAAACGGACTGATATTTGGGAACATCTTATTTTGACATAATCTGGGAAAATGCTTTGAAATAAAAAACAAATCTCTCATCCGTTTCTGTAATAGTTAAATTACAGTGAGTTCATGCATCTAGCATATTGTTTTATAGCTATATTCTACTGTAACATGCATATATACATATATATCTCACAAAAGTAGCAGAACATTCCAGGAAATCCCTAATATGGATGACAATTAAAATTACAGTTAGCATTAAATAATAAATCGACTTTCTTATAAATATACCTAAGATGGCTGGAAGTACACATATAAACCATTTATTGGCGCAGTCGTGTAAATGATCAGTTGAAGCCTTTTAATATTTACTCAGATCTTATTTTCATTCAACAGCAATAGCTGGATGCCTTCATCCATATTAGGGATTTCCTGGAATGTTCTGCTACTTTTGTGAGGCATATATGGAATTTCTGCTCAAGTGTAAATGAAATAGGCATTACATGCATTTAAAGTGCTACAATGCCCACATAAACCTATTTTGAGGAAAACTAAAAAAAAAAGAAAATAAATAATTTTCTACTTAAGAAATAATTTATTGTACCATTTTTGATACAATTGTTGTTATTTAAAAAATAGTAGCCTATTGAACATCAATATATAGCAAAGTAATGAAGTCAGAAATTCCAGTATCTGGACAACATTACACCTTTGGAGGAGATCGGAGGCTCAAGAGGTATGATATGGCTCATAACAGACTAGTAAATGAGAAGTGGGTTAATTTATAAATGTTTTTTTCCATTTTGATGTTACGAGTTACGCTGGATCTAATCTCACTATATTTGCTAAAAGTGATATTTAATTCACCTTGTTCTCTGTATCTAACGTAGGGCTGGACAATAATATAATATCAATATATCACGATAGATTTTTTTTCAATAACGGTGATATGATTTTTAAACTCATTTCCGATATTTCGATACATTTGTGTATATGTTTTACATATGTTTTATTATGTTTTGTTATATAATATATATATATATATATATATAATATATATATATATATATAATATATATATATATATATATATATATATATATATATATATATATATATATATATATATATATATAAGATTTTCTACCTTGTATCATTTGTCACTAAATGACTTTCCGTGCTCAGAATGAGCGTGATGTCACTTGCATGATGACAGCGCTCAGAAGTTGGTTAAGCTGCTCTGCCACAGAAAGCTACAAAATGAGCGACCTAAATACACATATAGAGGAACAAGCTTCCAGAAGTAAGAATGCAGACAAAGTAGTTGATGTGGACGTTGTTTGGCTTTTTAAGTTCCGATCAGCTTTTTGTTTCGGCGCTCTGCAAACTGTGCGGGAGAGCGATGCCGACTAGCATCGGAAACACATCAAATAGGTTCATAAAAGTTTAAATCAACCTGTCGCCTCACCATCCACCTTCCCGACACCAAACACAGATGGCTATGAGCCGCAGTGTAGGGTTTTGCATGTCTACACATGAATATACACATATAAACATATACTATGTTCAAAACAAGTATGACACTTGCACATATTTAAACCTACTGCATGCATACACCCACATACACATACACAGACATATAAACTCGATCCGAACATAAACTTAATCCTTGGATTAAATTAAACACAAACACACACAAACACAAAACTCTCTGCATGCTGGTATAGCACGCAAGGAAACTTACAAAATAAAATTCACAAACATATGTATCAGGAATCTGGTTATTTCAAAGCTGATGAAATAGAAAGAATTTGAATAATAGAAGTATTAAATCTGTTAAATAATGAAAATGTGTTATACAAAATGTTAGTTTATATAAATAGACAATATAAAAAAATAGAACTATTTTATGTTAAATCTTTTAACTTAATTAGGTAAATACATACACAAAAATAGTCAGAAAGAACCCTAAAAGGACGTTTAAGATAAAAAGCAACCAGAACTTTAAATATACTCAAACAACTCTTTTCCTTTGCAAATATTAATGTAGCCTATACTCTTTTTAATTTGTTTTTTAATTATAATTATTATTCTTTTTCTATTTGGATTTTGGCATTATTTGACCAGAAATAATAAACTGCAGAAAACAGTCACGCTACTTGCTCTGCAAACAGGTGTGTTCATGACTATAAATACAAATAAAAATAATAAAATGAGAAAATATGACTTTGCAACATCAAGCAGCATTAGGCATGGGCCAGTATAAGATTCTGACAGTATGATATCCTAAAATATATTTTCTTCTGAGAAACTTTTAAAACATTTTTGAGCAGTAAACATGTCAGGCTAAATAATTGAAATGAATCACAGATTTCTTTACGATTTAAAACAGCCTCTTTGGTCTTTACTGCAGGAGATACTGTTGTCCTAAAAAACAAAACATTAAAAAAAATCTTACATATACTGTAGGAACGGTGCAGCAGGAAATGTTGGCGGTTTTAAAACCTTGACTTTTCCAAACTGCGGTAAACCTTGAATATAGTTATTGTCCCATGCCTCAGCAGCATAACACTGATATTTATGATCTAAAAATTTATTCTTTAAAAAAGTCTCAAACAAAAAGATTCTAATGGCGCCGCCTGTTGGTGCATGAAGAATATGGTCTATATTCTGCGAATGTAAAATATTTTATAACAATTAATTATTTTAGTGTCCATTTCATTTAGCATGCGCTTTATTGGGGGGATCCACATTTTTTACATACTGTAAAATAGGGTTTCTGCAGGTTTTACAAAGTTAAATTTAAGACTTTATGATATTTTTAAGACCATTATGAATGAAATTTTAGACTCATAAAGGGCTAAAGGCTAAAGAACTTTTCAAATGGCCCAGATGGAAAAGATTTTTATTTGCCCCATCAAAATAAAATTTCTTTTTAAAAATAAAAAAATGAACAAATGTTTTTAAAGTTTTAAAAACTATAACAAACTAAATCTATGCACAACAATCTGTCCAGGTTGATATCCACAGCAGTAAATACATGGAGCACGTTTAAACAAATGTTATTGGGAGTAAAATAATTAAACCATTATGATAAATAGAGTTAAAAAGACCTTTTTGAATAAAAAGTTGAAAGTTTTATTAAGTTGAATTGTTGGTGATTGAATAGGTTTTGGCCAGATTGGGTAGAAAAACATGAACAAAAGAAAATAAAGACTTGTATAAAAAAGATTTAAGACCTACAACACAACATTTCAGTAAATTTAAGACTTTTTAAGGCCTAAAATGTTAAGTCTTTTATGAGAATACTGTAGGTCAAATATCGTCAGCTTAGTTAAACCTTTTATTAATTTATTGTTTTTATTTATTTTATAAAGCACTAAGGATGCTTTACAAACAGTAAAAGAACAAGAAAAGCAATAACGTTAAGAAGGTAGAGAAAATGGGAGACTAAAAACACATAAAAGACAAAAGACATGAGAACAAGTGACGAAAGAAACTCATTCTGTCTTTTAATGAGTGCTTATGTGCATTTATGAGAACTAGGCAGCACACTCAGGGCTGCAAGATGGATTTAATTTAGTATTCTTATTATTAAAATATATCTGAATGAGGATCAAATGACTGAGTTGGTCTTTGAGAATAAAAGTCAACCTGTTTGTTCCTGCAGGTCTTCCTGTTTGACTGTGAATGTTTCTTCAATCTTCACATCTTCACTCTCCTCTTTAATAAACGCCATCTTTATAACAGTGTGGAGATCAGTCGCTTCAGCAGGAGTTTTTCTCTGAGTTTGGACACTTTATCCTGTTTAAAATTAACAAAACAATAAAAATGTCCCGTTTAAAATAAATTAAACAATGAACAGATACAAAATAACTTCTCTTAACACTTGCTTAAACAGTTTCTTTTAATTATCAAAAAGAAATCAGGTAAAACATTTTTTTTTAAATAGAGGTAAAATTGGTTTTATATTCGCACATTCGGACTTTCCCCTTAATGATATAATTTCATTAAAGTATAACTTAAAGTAACTATAAAGTACAACATTGTTCACAGTCAAATAAACAGTGTTAATGTTGTTTTCAAGTCACACTTGCAAGCTAATTCCGATCAAATATTTAAAGTAACATGGTAAACAATATATAGACTGCTAAATAAACGAATGTGTGAATATAAAACCAACTTTTCCTCTTATCAGAAAAGTTTGAGAAACCCTGCTT